ACTACAGATCACCAGAATTAGCTATTCACTGATTCATGGACTTTAGTATGATTCACCCATATTCACCATCATCTGTTATGACTAACTATACTAACTAATCATTATCCAATCATGCCCCTTAACCATCATCTCTTATGACCCGGAAAAACGGCTCCTCCAATCGAAGATTCTTCAAGGTTTGCGCCACTGCAATGGCCGTATCGATGCTCACAGAGCCACCGGACTGGCCATCGTCCTGCCCCAGATTAGCTACCAGATATCTCGGGCTGGATTTCAATTCAAGCCAACCAGTAAGAGGTTTATAAATGTTTATAACTTTTAATTTGTATAACCAAAAATGGCGAAAAATCTCAGGCTCAAGAGAAAAAAAACAAGATGCAGCCCACGAACCCGAATGCTCACACGTATGTTAATGGTACAGATGTCGAAGCACATGGATATGTAGTCACGCAGAACACTTTTCTGCAATAGTTTATTTGAACAGTCTTGTACATATTTCCCCTGTTCCAAGTCTGCAGTGTGGAGTGGCAAGTGTAGAGTGTGGAGTGTGGAGTGTAAAGTAAGGAGTGTGGAGTGTAAAGTGTGGAGTGTAAAGTGAGGAGTGTGGAGTGTAAAGTGTGCAGTGAGGAGTGTGGAGTGTGTAAAGTGTAGAGTGTGGTGGAGTGTGGCGTGTGGAGTGTAGAGTGTGGAGTGTGGAGTGTAGAGTGTGGAGTGCGAAGTATAAAGTGTAAAGTGCAGTGTAAAGTGTGGAGTGCGAAGTGTAAAGTGTGGAGTGTCAAGTGTAGAGTGTGGAGTGTGGAGTGTGGAGTGGAAAGTGTAGAGTGTGGAGTGTGGGGTGTGGAGTGTGGAGTGTGGAGTGTAAAGTGAGGAGTGTGGGGTGTAAAGTGTGGAGTGAGGAGTGTGGAGTGTGTAAAGTGTAGCGCGCGGTGGAGTGTGGAGTGTGGAGTGTAGTGTGTTGAGTGTGGAGTGTAGAGGTGGAGTGTAGAGTGTGGAGTGTAAAGTGTAGAGTGTAAAGTGTAAAGTGTGGAGTGCATTGTTGCGCCAGCCACACAAAAGAATTTTTGACACGGTATAAAACAGGTTGGAATGTCACAAAGCGCCACGCCTGCCACGCAAAACGACATCACAACCTGCTTGGAAACCTTCGAAAAGGAGAGGTTTTGCAGCTTCCCCCATAGACACGGCGAAGCCACAGGAAAACCAGAGACTCGAGACGAGACACGTGGGCGCAGAAAACGAGCATTTCGTGCGAGACGTCCTCCAATTTTCACAATTGGAAACCTTCGAAAAGGAGAAGTTTTGCAGCTTCCCCCATAGACACGGCGAAGCCACAGGAAAACCAGAGACTCGAGACGAGACACGTGGGAGCAGCAAAACGAGCATTTCTTGCGAGACTTCCTCCAATTTTGACACTTTGTAGCCTCAAAATCGACGTTTTCCCGCGAGTTTTCTTAGGAACCTCAAAATTTGCTACCTCAAAATCGATGTTTCGTGCGAAGCTCCCGTTAATTTTCATCACATCTCACGGGATGCCACGCCTGCCACGGAATTTGCACCTTGTCGCCAAATGACGCAGCCCTGCCAATGCGATTTGTAAAAAAACACGCCGCACGCCACGTCTAGAACGCTGCGCCTGCCACGAAAAATGACGATGGACACGTCCAAAGTGCTGCAGCTGCCACGAAAACCGCAACGCATCTTCTGAAAACGTCGCAAAAGTATTGCGCCTGCCACACAAAACGACTTTCGACACGTTACAAAAGACGTCTGAATGTCACAAAGTGCCACGCCTGCCACGCGAAATGAAGCAACACGACGTTTGAAACCTCCAAAAATGACCCCTTCTGCAGAACTTACCATAGGCACGGCCATATGGCCATCACGCGGACGGTTGCGAACGGTTGCGGACGGTTGCGGACGGTTGCGAACGGTTGCGGACATAAACGCAACGTCGAGCGAACACACCCTCAGCCCCCAGACCCCCAGAGTGAAACGGGAACCCTTGCTACGCATTCGGGAACAAAGAGGATACCTAAAAATATGTGGCTAGAAGATGACCTGCCAGAGACTTTGGCAGGTATTTTGAAGGTTGGTTTCCTATCTAAAAGAATCTACATCTTCTTCTGTGTACATAAATCCTCGAAAAACATTGCCTAGTATCTGGGTGTTAGCCACTATTGAAGCACCCAAGCGGGATGGTTTCACCCCCCAAAACTTGGCAAAAAAATAAGGAGCCCCTGAAGAAACCAGCAAAAAATGGATGGGTTACCCAACAATCGTGGAAATAGAATATGACCATATATGAACAATAGAGGTTATGGTTGGGTCAACTACCCACAACCGGAATTTGCCTGAGATATCCTGAGATTCCGTCTATCGCAAAGTACTGGAGTCGATCACAGCAAGCCCGAGCAATGAAAAAAGACTGGTGGTGCTTCCGGCCCACAGCCAAGTGAAATCACAAGCCAGTCCTGATTGCTACTATTGGTTCTCTGGAAGT